GGGGGGGTCTTGCTGCTGCTGCATCTGGGCAGGGCCGAGGGGCGGGGAGCCCGGATTGCGTGCTATGATGAAATCCCCTCGCCGGCGGGTATAGGGAGACGGCGGCTCATTGCAATATTCAGCAGCGGCAGCCACGGAGGCTCCGTCTTTTCGTCCGCTCGCTCCTCTCCGCCTCCTCTCCTCTCCTCCTCCGCCTCCTCCTCCCCCCACCCCCCAACTGCTCCATGGCAGAGCTGCCCTGACTCCCCCGCTGCACCGCGCCGCCTGCCCGCCAGCAGCCCCGCCCGCCAGCCAACCCGCTCTGGCCCGGAATGATCTGAACCCTCCGCCAGAATAAGCAGCCGAGTCCAGCGCAATCGCCGATCGCAGGTGAGTGGCGTCTCGGCAGGTTTCCTTCCCCCAAAGAGCCTGGAGGGGGAGGAAAGATGGACGGGGGGGAGGAAAGATGGGGGGGGGACGGCAGGTCGGTCGTAACGCTCGCCCTGAAGGTGAAGCTCTCGGTCTGCGCAGGGTTGCAACCGCTCGCCGGCGAGCGTAGCCTTTCCTCCGCTTCCTTTGGAAAGCGGAGCGGGACTTGATAGGTGGGGGGGTGGGAAAAAAAGGAGATGGCTCGTGGTCTCGGGGATTCTTTCCCACCCAAAAAAAAACAACCTACGGCCATTCCTTTGACTCTCCCCCGTTTCCTCCTCTGGTTTTCAAGGACGCGGAGTCACCCTCGTTTTCGCCGCCGCCTTCTTCGTGGGTGAAAAAAAGCATCCTCGCCTGCGCGCGCTCTCCGTGGGTCGTGAGCGGTGCTTTTGAGGAACGGGGCTCCAAAAGGGGTTGCTTTCCGCCGCCGCCCCCCCCCGCGGCTGCAGCCCCTGAGTCAGGCGAGGTAGGCCAGATCGAGGGTGGCAGATCAGGGCGAGGGGGGGGCCAGCTGTTGCAGCAGGAATAACTATCACCAGACTTGTTGAATTGGGGGGTGGGGGGGGCGAAGAAGGTTACCCTTCCCCCGAGGGACCAACCTCTGGACTCCAACCATGGCTGTGGAGGTGCCCAGACTTTCCCCACCCTCCCTTCCGCCCCTCATTTGGAGACCCAAGAGAGACAGTCTCCTGTCTGTTCCAGCACACGCTTCCCTGGCCAGGAAGGCAGTGCTTGCAATGAGATGCTGCTGAAGATTATGAACAAGGTATTGTTGTGACTGCTGTGCTGTGAAGTATATAGCCTGAGCTACTCCCAATCTCTTTAAAGCCTGACTCACCCCCCCCCCACCCATCCCCGATAATCTGGGAGCAGCAGCAGCGCCCTTTGCTGAAGCCATCTTCCATTCCACCCCGTGTCTTCTCTTCCATGCAGAGCTCAGTGCCGGGATGGATGTGTTCATGAAGGGCTTGTCGAAGGCAAAGGAAGGGGTTGTCGCTGCGGCAGAGAAGACCAAGGAAGGGGTAGCAGTGGCAGCCGAGAAGACCAAGGAAGGCGTGCTTTATGTTGGTAAGGTTGCTGCAGGCGAAGCTGCAGAGCTGCCCCTCTCACTGTGCCCCCCCCTTGCAGGGAAACAAATCTGCCAAGCAGAGAGAGGAAGGGTTGAAAGAGGAGGAGGAGGCAGGCTTTATCATTATTCTAGTTGATTTTTCCAAAGTGACAAGTGGCTTCTCTTCCCCAATAATTATTTCTGTATATGGAATGATTATAGATAAAGAAACAAAAAAGAGAGAGAGTCCAATGGTATGATTCCTTTCTAAGCTTTCCTGTATCCAGTCTTTCTGATTGCCTTCAGTATCCGAAAGATTTCATCTTTTAGGATTCACCTTTACCTATGAGATTATGTTTGATTTTCAAGTAATTATCAATGTATGTCTCCTTTTCTTTGTGATTGATCAGATTGCTCATCCAATTAAGAGACACAGGTTGAAGGCACGGGTTTATTTAATTTGGGTTTAGCCTGCTGTGCAAACCCAACCATTAAAAAAAAAGCCTCTCTACCTTTTCCTTCACGGTTTGAGGCAGCTTCAGTTCTGAGATGTGATTCCCTTTCTGTAAAGATGCAATTCCAGTCATGAGGCGACTGTTCTGGAGTCTTTCTGCTACTCCACACATAAGATGGAATGCTTTCATTCTGCAGGGGGGAAAAAAACATTGGGGTATCTTAAAGCCTTTTTCCTTCAACAAACTCTAAGGCTATAGATCCTTGGGAAAAAGCAGGGATGTGACAGCTTATGAATTCATCTTAGTGTTAAATTTCAGCCAGTTTGATAAATTCACCAATGAGCAGCCATTCCCAAAACACTTGAATAAATCATGCCTCCACTAATATTATGTTCTCTTTTGAAATGATGAGATCCATTCCCAAATTCTTCATTCCAGAGATTCATCTATCAACTTCTCATCTTCATTCCATTTTGTCATTCATCATCCTAGTGCTGACTCACAACCTTCCTGTACATTTGCTCTTCTTCCTTGTAAAACTAAGTTCAATAAATAAAATAATCATTGAATGAGTGCAGTTGTAACACAATTATAATTATGATGCCATTTGCAAAAAGCAAGGCAACACAAACCTTCAGCAAGACCATGAAGTTCAGATAGTCTTTGACTTACAACCATTCATTTAGTGACCATTCAGTTACAACAACACTGAACAAAATGACTTATGACCATTTTTCACATGATCATTATAGCACCTTTGTGGTCACATGATCAAAATTCAGATGCTAGGCAACTGGCATGTATCTAAGATGGTTGCAGTGTCCCGGTGTCACGTGATCACCTTTTGTGACCTTCTGACAAGCAAAGTCAATGGGGAAGCCAGAGTCACTCAACAACAGTGTTACTAACTTAACAACTTCAGTTATTCACTTAACAACTGTGGCAAGAAAGGCCAAAATTGGGGCAAAACTTACTTAACAACTGTCTTGCTTAGCAATAGAAATTTTGTCGTTGTAAGTCAAGGTCTACCTGAACCAAGGTCAAAAGGAAGAAATTTAAAATGGTAATTTATAACAGCTTTTTCTCTGATATTTTTACAGAAAAAAATAATGAGAGAGAAAGAGAGATGTGAATGAATCTAATGCTTTAAATCAGGAATTTAAATTAGGAAAAAAACAGTTGTGATAAACAAGAAAGAAAAAGCAATATGATGTATACCCTACTATCTCCTAGCCTGGATACATTCCATTCAACTCTTTTCTTAATTTGTATTCCTCAGCCAGTTAGGAATCTGGCCTTAATTTGATCAGCTCACAATCCAAACATCAAAGGCAGACAATAAAGTTGATTCAAGCTAAATGTGAATCCAGGATTCCCCCCCCCCCCCAAATTTCTACATTTTGCCAATCCAAATCATAAAAACACCTCCAACTGTGATCTGCCATCATGGGGAATGCTAGGCACCACTTAAGAGAAATGCTGGTTAAACTATAGAACTATAGACTAGCAATGGCTATTAATCTTTATAGCTGTATAATATCTCTTGAATTGCTAGCACCAAATTTTAAATGCCAACTGTTCGAGAATGATCAATCAAATTGGGACAGATCGTCCTGCAGAAAATCTATGAGTTCACTAACATTCGATGGTACATAATCAGCTGGTCAGTCAGTCAATCAATCAATCAATCAATCAATCAATCAATCAATCGAGTAATAGTGCAAAACAACTATACTAGCCCACCTAATGTGTGATTTCTGAATATATATTTGGTTAGCCACTGCGTGCCACAGAAGTAGATTCAAAAAGCTCTTCACTGATGCAACTGTAGCTGTAAAGACGTCACCTTGAGAGTGAGATGGGTGGTCTCTAAATTTTTACACACACACACACACACACACACACACAAAGAGAACAAATATCTTGTGTATTATTTACACATACAATAAAAATGAGAATACATAATGGTGTTGTCCTGTAATTTTTTCCATCCTGGTGATCTAAATGAATTAGAATATAATTCCCATATTTCCTGCCAACATGGCTTCCAAATCTTGTGACTGGAGAATTTGTGATTGTAGTTATCTTGAAACTAGCTCTGTATGAACCTTATGTTTTTTCTTCAGCTAAGCCATCATTCTTTTGCTTTGTTCACAAAACATGCTTTCCAGGAGTTAACTAAGCATGTTGTAAAAGTAATCTGGCTTTGCATGATCTGCTGAACACTAAATTAACCAAACAGCATGAATTCCAGCAATATGCTTGGGTGAAAAAGATGGGCTTACTTTGGGGTTCAGTGTGCTAGGCATACATAGCTGTTCCCTGCATCTTGGCCAATTTCTCTTCCTCATATCTTCTTGAATGTGGTCTTTTTATTTTTTCAATCTGTAGGGTTTTTCTAAATTCTTGTTCTACTATAGAGAAGATACATTAATCTGCAACCTATATTTAAAAAAGGGTTAAGGATAAAGGAGAAAACTGAGAATTGATTAGGAATATCATGGTGTGTCTTGTTGAGAAGAGCCACACTCAAGGAACATTCCTTAGCAACATGCTAAGCCCCATTTAATGCTATTCCAGCTTAGCTTCATCCTCACTGGCCAACATCAGGCAACACAACTAAGCAAGCAACCATATTTGTAGATTTGCAACCTTTTTGATACAGATTCTGGCGGTTTCATATGACTTGCCTGTCAACACTCAACAGGTTTTTGTTTTCATAGTTCTGTTAATCAAACTGGAGGATCCATTGTCCTGGATAATGCTGGAATGAGAGACCACCAAAAGGCCAAAAACTAAGTGCTGGCTTCAAGACATCTTGAAAGAATGCAGGGCTCTCCCATTTGTGTACAGTTCCCAAGACAACTAACTGGATATATCTGGATAAAATCACCAGGTCTTGAACTCCGCTCAAAGGAAATTTGACTTTTATTTTTATTAAAAAAATAAGTTAAATTCATATTGGACCATGAGTCATGGCACGGCTTCTCCTTGCTGCCCATGTTTCATTTCTTTCCGTGCCCATATGCAATGACAATGAAAATGGAAATAGAATAAAGAGAGGCCAGAAGAGAGAATTAATTTCAGAATGAGCCTCCCTTCAGGATTCACATAACATGATGAACCAACCAGTGCACTTTGATCTTTGTCTATGGCAATGTCAGATCCTCAAAGGTCAGGTGAGGAAACATATACTACAAGAAATACTTGAACTCAGCTTTATTGATTTAGGATACACCAACAGAATCTTGAAGCCCCGACAGTATTTTCTCCATCCCTCCCTCTTATACCAAACAGAGTCAAGACACACAGTTTTGAGTTTCTTTCTCATGCTTTCTGGTTTCTTAGGTTATGTTCATATTTTGCTAATGGTTTCCACATATCTTCTTCAGAGTCATCTCTGTGGTCCATCTGACCTCAAAAGAAAATAGAGGGCCAAATTGCGCCTTGGTTTAGTCTGTCTTATGAATGTAGCCAGGATACCAACAATTCCATATTTGTCCTGCCTCCTGTCTCTCTCTCATTCTTCATCTTATTCTCCCTACTGAGAGAACCTGAGATTAGCTAACTGCCCATTTCCCCATAAGAGTTTTTCCTCTGCTGTGCCTTTGCACTTTGACTTTAAGCATAATATGGTTTGTTACACTGTAGCTTGCATAATTTGGAACCCAACTATTGGAGTTTTAAAGCCTAACTTATGGGTTTACACAATGTGTGCATATGTGGTAGCATGTGTAGCTCTATATGCTTTGGTTCATCCCTTCCCCCAAGCCTTTTCTGAGGAGATGCCAACAAAGTGTATCCAGGCAATACCTATCCTATTTCTCTCTTTCTTTGAGTGACAGGGTGCTATATGGATTGATGTTGGGTTTTTTTTGTTTTACTGTTTGTTTTTGTGCTATATATCCCCAACCTTTTGGGCACCAAGGACCGGTTCCATGGAGAGAGGTTTTCCACGAACCAGAGGGGTGTGGTTTCATGTGCTGCCTGCACCCCAACAATCTGGGTTCTCATTTTACTGACCTCGGAAGGATGGAAGGCTGAGTCAACCCTGAGCCAGTGGGAATCGAACTGCCAAACTGCTGGCAGTCGGCAGCCAGAATTAGCCTGCAATACTGCATTCTAACCACTGCACCACCACAATGGCAAAGCATTTCTGAAAATCTTGTCAAGAAAACTGCAGGGACTTGTCCAGGCAGTCTGAGAATTGGACACGATTGAATGGAAGAAAAAAAAATAGCCACTTAAGCTGATCCAACAAACTCATGTTAAAACAAACTATGGTTTGTGCATCCAGTCGAAGAAAACTGCTAGATTCTAGAGTGCCATATTTTCATTTTTAAAGTTACAGCCCTGTAAGATCAAAATGGAGATTGACTAGAAAAATGATCCAATTTAGATGGATGTGGAGTTGGCAAGACACATGATAATTCATTTTTGAATTCCTGTTAAAATTGCTATTCTTTCCACCCCACCCTACCCATTTTAAAAGGAAGCTAGAATATTCAGATTATTAAGGGATTGGATGATTGATGCTGTGGTCCAGCATATGTCGCAGCCAATTT